AGATCATAGATCTGCCAAATTTTGGATTGTTCGCTTTAGGAATCTGTCTACTGGGAATTTTCGAAATTTAAGAAAAAACAACTTGTAGACGGAAGTGCTTTATGTCCCATCTAATTTAACCTGTGCTCCTGATTTGAAATGCTTTGTAAATTTGCTTTGCACTGGAACATCTGGCCATTCCACTTCAATCTGAATAGTCTTAAAGTTGGTTCAATTTGAGCTATTATTGTTAATATAGACAGACATATGTATGTATGTGTGAGTGCACATATGGTATTATAAATAATTTACAACACCTGCAAGACAATATTTGCATATTTCTCTAAATGCAAAAGATAAATCTAGATGAAGAACTTTAATTGCTTTTTTTTTGTACAGACCATTCCAAAGTAGAGGTATAGAGCTGGTTGCTTGCTTCTTTCTAAGCAAGTAGGGTGCCTCTTTCTGTTTACTATACTCATAGGTGTTAATATAGCCTGTTCTAGGCATTTTAACACATTGGGGGTTGGGGCATATACATCAGCTAAATTCTCTTTCCAGATTGCAGAGTTTTCACTGGATTATTACCAGATGTGATTAGTGGCAAATGCAAAAATCAGTCTTCGCTGCAAAGTAGGGCTGCAGAACATGGCACCCAAAGATGTTGGTCTACACCAGTGATCCGCAACCTTGGGCCTCCAGATGTTCTTGGACTATAACTCCCAGAAGCCTTCACCACCACCTCTGCTGGCCAGGATTTCTGGGAGTTGAAGTCCAAGAACATCTGGAGGCCCAAGATTGGGGACCACTGGTCTGCACTATCCTTCACATTTAACTATGTACTGGCCAGCATCTGGAGGTCTACTTGCTCTAAAAGAGCTAGCATGCGAATGCTGTAAGAACAGAAGAATAGTCATGTTGGATCATGAATAAAATCAGTCTTACACTCCATCATCCTGTTTCCAATTGTTAGCCTCTGGAAGTCTGTCAGCACAGTATGAGGGCAATAGTTTTTCTCAGTTGCATATCACAAGCACCTGACTCCTCAGTTATTGTGAATAATAAGCTTTTGATAGAGTGAGTTCCTATTTGTCTATTTTCTATTAAAAACATTTTAAGTTAGTGCTCTTCATATCATCATGATGGGGTGCCCTTATTCTCCTCAGTTTTATAAGAGGGATTCAGTCTCAGCAGCACACCAGTTGGAAAGCTTTTGGTTCCATTTCACTGAGATGGGAGATTTTTTGTTGTTGTTTGCCTGCTGCAGCTGTTGTACATTCACTCTGTAGAAGAGTGAGCCGCTGTCTTCATACTTCTTTCCATTTGTTTCAAAATTACACAGACACACATACAGACACACACGGCAGCTGTTTTGCAGCTTAGGTGATTATTTTGTTTTCCTGGGCTCATTTCCTCCAGCTTTGGATGCCTGCCTTATTTGCTTTCTGGATTCAAACCATTTTGAGTGGTAATTAACTAGTGCTCAGCTGATTATATCCAGCTTGTCTCCTAAGCTTGCTTCTGATCTAACATGGTTCATGAGGTCCTGTTTTGCAAAAATGTACACATTTTTTGCTTCCTGAATGTTAATTGTGGGGCCATATTCCTACATGAACCTGGTAATGGGTCCATATTTCTGCATTGGGATGACTGGAAATGAATGAACCACAAAGTAAAATACATCAAAATATGCAAGCTGGACTGTTGTCAACATCACTATCCATACCTCCAATTTTCATGGAGTCAGAAATCTTTGAAACTCTGTTGAGACTGGAGAGTGTCTTTAATGAATAGCAAATTCATCAAAATGAAACAAAACTCCTGTCCAACATAACTGAGACAGTAACAGCAGTTTTCAACAGGGAGCTGATCATTGTAACTGCAATGTTACTTGGGTATTCATTTCAAGTGAAAAAATATAATTGTAATTTCAATATTTATTCTATTTAAGGTCTAAATATTTACTTTAAGACATATGCATTGTTTGTGGTATGAAAATATTTGTAACTTTAGGTGACAGGATATGAATAATAAGCTGCAACTCTCCATGGTATGTAGAATCTGAAAAGAAAAATGTTATATTGAAAGGAACACGACGGCAGGATAATTTCTCAGTGTGAAACTTTTAATCTGTCTTTGCTAATTTAGCTGAAAGCTCTCTTTCTGTTCCCCTCTTTTCTGATGGTACTTTTAATCTTAGCTGTGAGTTTTTAGAGTTGTACATGTAAGTTCAGAGCTAGTTCTCCTTGAAATAGTGGTAAATTAAAAAGGACTCGAAGCAGGGAAAAAGTTCTTTAAGGTTTGTGAGTTACAAAAAATGGCTTTTTGTTACTGCCACATATTTCATGAGTTAAGTGTTGGTCTGTCAGACAAAAACACTGTGGACTGTGGCCATGTATCTGAAGATTGGGAGCAGGTATACTGTTAACTAAAATAAATGCCAATGGACACTTGACTTTATGGAGCCTAGTGAGATCCAGTATTTCAGTCTAATAGTTGTAAGGTATGTCTCCATGCCTTTCTTGGCATGACATCTTTCCTTCCTTCAAAATAAGAACCTTTAAGTATGCTAGTTGAAGGATTCTGGTAGTTGTAGAAATGGTGGGATACGGAAAGGGTTTCCCTGGCTGATATAATACATTCAGACATCTCCTGAGCGCTGACTGTCTTGGCTGATCCTTTGATACCAGAAGCAACAACATAAGGCAAATCAATGGATAAACCATTGGATGAATGATAATAGGTGCAAACTCATGGTGGCAGTCCAACCATTCACAGTACCATTCCACAGGGGACACAATTTTTAAAAAGCTGGTTGGCAGAAGTGTAGTGTAACGTTCGATGGAAATATTTTGAACATTTTCCGAATCCCAGAGACCTACGTATGACCAAGTTATCAAAGCAATGAAAAGACCATCCTGAGTACATGTGTTAGGATATCCCTTCAGGTCAAAAATCTCATCTATTTCACATGCATAGTGTGATCACAGAAATTGCAGCAGCTAAATACAGGTAATTAATGACATGCCAGTCTCATGCCTTATCACATACCAGTCACACAACTTTTTGTGACCATGTGTATGACAGGTAGCACATTAACTAGCCTCAATTATCTGCTGCAATTTTCATGATTAAATTGTCATGTTCCGGAAAAAAAAACCCAATAGGATTTAGCTACAATGTGAAATATGACAGGATTCAAGTGTCTTTCTGGTATATCAAAGACTATGGAATAAACAAGCATGATCCTCCTCTTTGTGAGGTGGTCTTCATACATAGGAGCTGCAGCTATTATTGCCACATATTTCCATAGATTATGCTTTCCATTTGATTGTGCAGCAGTGATAGGTGAAGATGTCAATATTCAGTTGATAGTGATTCTGGACTGTTGACCATTCAGTGTCAGATTTTGGTAGAGTTTTCTTTTTACCTGCATAGAGTTTTCCCAGGTGTAATCATTTTGCCTCCTACCTTTCAAGCTGCTGCTCTGGAGTCTCAGCTGCTTTGGCTGCGGCCTTTTCTACTCTCTCAGCTGCGTTGTGCTCTCACTTATTCTCAGATCAACTTTCACTAGTCATTCTTTCATACATTGTCTTCTTGTAGAATCTTTTATTTTAATAGTTATCACTGTCCTGAATAATGGTTATGTTGTGGTTAGGAAAGGCTGCTACTTACTGACTGAAGACAGCGCTGTCACTTACAGAGACAGTCAAACTGGTTAGTATGCAAGTCATTGACTGACGTGGTACTACAAGCTACAGCTATATTTAAATTGATTAAAGTTAATGAATAGATATTAAACACCAAATGATCCCAAAGTGCACACCTTTATGGTCCCTTTAGTAACCATGCTAAATTCTGTGTATCTAGGATTCTAACTAGAGATGGGGACAACTCACCATTTTGGTGAGTTGTCCCACCTCGTGAGTCATCAAAAGTTGATGACTCACAAAGCACGAAGTTGCCCCCATTAAGCGACGAATAACAGGATTCCAGGTAGGCTGTGGGGGTGGCTGGCTGCTTATTGGCCGCCAATGAACTAATTGGTGGCTGGTAGGCAGAATGATGGGGTGTTTTTTTAAATATAAAGGACAAATAAAAATGGGCAAATAGTTGTCCCTTTGTGGGGGTCTCTGGAACCCACAAATATGAAGGGATGAATATTTAATAAATTGGCTATTTTCATAAAAAAATAAAGATCCGTTTTTATATTTGTCCCCATCTCTAATGCAGATATACACTCTCCTTTGTTATTACAGATGAATCGATCACCTTTGCACACAATCTTTGGTTTACAACCCAGTTATCAAAATGCACTCTCTTGATTTATACTGTTCTATTTTTTTGTCCTTACAGAAATTTCCTGACAAAAAGATTAAGTACATTTCATTTTTTAAATGAATTTTCTTATATGTCAATTTTTCTGGGAAAACAGTATCTGCAATATGAATAAGATGAATTAAAACAAATTAGGAGTTAAAATGTGCTAGAAATGTGATTTGGGGGCATTAATTAAGATTCATTGATTAAAATGTTAACTAAGTCTGTTCACACTTCATCACTGAAGCCAGCATGAGCAATATGGCATTATAGTTCACAGACAGCAGGCTTTTTCAAAATAGCCATTGTGTACTAAGTGTAGTTAATGATCAGGTTAACCGCTGTGAAAGCAATATTTATATTCGCTGAAATAATTTCTCGTTTGAGTTAAGAATTCCTGCAGCATTTTCTAAAACGTAACTGATGCAGAAGTACAAATATATTATGACATGTATAAAGAAGACTGAATCCTCTCTACATTTGCTTTTCTCCATAAATGTACTATGCAAACTAAGGACATTGCTTTCTCATGAAAGAAATGGTGCTTCATTCAGAAAATGATGGTAGGTTTTCTGAATTTTCTTGGCAAGATTATGTCAAGTGGCACTTCTCCAAAGGTCAAGAATATTTATTCTAGTAGAGTTTTTTTAAAGAATGTTACCTCTCTTGACTTATACTGTTGTTTTTTTTTATTGTTACAGAAAATTTTTCTGAAAGCTGCCAGCGAGGAAGAAATTTTTGCACATCTTGGTTTGAATTACCTTGAACCATGGGAAAGAAATGCATAGAAAGATATATTACCATTATTTTATATATATATCCTTCTTTAAAAACAAAACAAAACAAAAACCTATTTTCCTTAGCATAGAATTACACTGACCTGAAAAGCATGCCTTTATTATTTAGGAAGGTGAATGTTAAATATACATAGATATATGCTGCAAATGTAGGTTTCCTTTGCACAATTCAGGAAAAAGATTAATTTAGTGTGTTGGAGTATAGGCTGTTATCTTTGATAATGATTTTGAGACCATTACTATTGCCCTCATTTCATGCTGCCAGTGCAGCAATACCTTCAGTGTTTGAGTAAGCGTATGGGAAAAATAGTGATACAGCTAAATCAGGCAAGTGTTTCATAGATTAAATGAAATATGGTAGATTTGCTTTTGACAGTGTTTTCAGTTGTTCTAAATGCAAAATAATGTTAATCTTCTTTGGACAGTCCCTCATGTGTTCATGGAAATAAATATAGACCTGCTGAAATATGACAGATCTGTTGCGACTTCTGTTCATGGCAGCACATTTTCAGGTTATTACCGAATCATTCAATTTGGAGATAGTAGGTCTTCCTGGTAACCAACAATATGATGTTACTGGGTGATACAGTCTTCAACCAAAGCAATGGAAAATGCTGAGAATGTCTAGGAGCACTTGAGAATTTTTGTATGGCTCCTTTTACAGTAGGGTACATGCGATCACGAAAAAGGGACCTGGTCCAGGACCTCAGCTGTCTTTACAACCTCCAATGATAGTAAGACCAGTCTGGTTGGCTGATTCTACACAGAACATGAGTTCAGACGTGCTTTGCCGTTGTCCTTTGAGTCCCGTCCTTGCCACCCCCTCTCACTGCATCACTGCTCCAGCCACCATTGCAATTTCCTTTCACTGCCGATTTTTTTTGTGCATCTGTAAAAAAGGTGGCAGCGTTAGAAATGGAAAAAAATCTATTACTTTCATTTTCTTCATTTGTTTCTTTTTTAAAAGGTAATACAGATACCTGATTTCCTCTTAAGTTGTTTCCATGTTGAATATGAAGAAATATGCACAATTTGGGTAATCTTCCAAAGTGAAATGAAATGAAATTCTCCCTTTTCCTATCCACCAAATCCTTCAGGTACTGTTTTTCCCTACATAAAGAGTACCATGTTGTACTAGTATGCCAAATAGGTGTAAATGATGACAAATCTTTTAAATGGGGGTGGAGAAGAGGAGGAGGAGAAGGAGAAAGAATTGGTCACCCTAATTCAACATGAACACAATTGAATACCTGAGGATTCAGGACCAGATTTTTAAGTTGTTGCTTTCTAAAAGTTCTGGACATGGATAAACACATCCATCCATTTTGATTTCTTTGATTATAAATATATCTTTAGAAACTTTCCATCTCAAATGTGAACAAAAATCTGACAATGTGACTGACGTTTAAAGAAATGTGAAATTTCAAGAAATTGAAATCCATCTCTCGTCAGGATAGGACAGGAAGCATAGCAGGCAGGATACTTTCACTTAATCCCAATTCAACCAGGTACCTGCTCCATAAATGTTTTAGACAGGCCAGCAGAAGGATGAGGCATAATGCTACTTTTATGATTTCCACAAGTCTTTCCTTTAACTAAAGTTTGTAATAATTCTGGTCCAACAGAAGTTTTTACTTTGAGGTCTTTGAAGTAAAGTAAGTAAAGGTCTTTGAACAATGAGTAAAACATACATTTAATGCAATACCCCAAACTCTTGTGTACATGTTCTGATGAATCTGTATATGAATGCTGTTGGATCAATGCCTGAAATATCAACACACAATCATTAACCGGTAATAAGAAGTGGCCTTAATCGGTTTAGTAGTCTGAAGATTGAAGTCCAATACTGGTGTCAACACTTAAATGTAAGCAATATGAATAACTGCAGTGATCATTAGGGATGCTGGTAACACATTTGTCCTTTACTCAGAATAAAGACATATATTCCCCTATAATAGAAGGCTAAAGAGAAGTTTCCCTATAAAATGATGGGCAACTGAGTCCATTGGATTGAGGCTAGTCATGCATTTTCTTTCTAGCTGCATATTTTTTGTGTCTAGAGGCTATTTCGTATTGGTTGCACTGCTGGAATTAAAAGACTGACATGATCCTAACCATCAATTTATCCCCATTATTCATAACAATCCATATTTATACATTCCATGGAAACACTAAACCTTAAAAGGTTTCACGTATGCAAGACAATATAGCACTAATGGAAGGATGATTTGATGGGTGGTGGTGGAAGATAATATCTGAAATTTTTTTTGGAGGCCAAGCTGCTCTGAAGAAGTAGAGCTATGTTAGTAAACATGTCTGTCAAAAACGTCCTTCTAGTACCTATTTCATTATGCCAACATTTGACTCCAATTTATTAAAAAAGATAGATAACATACTGTGTACTTCTGTGAATTGTGACCTCATTTTAATGAATAACAGTTTCCAAAGAACTTTCCTAAGAATGAAAATCTTGGTCTGACTATAATATCACAGAATAATGGAGCTGGAAGGGGCCTATAAGGTCACTGAGTCCAACCCAATGCAGAAATCCAGATCGAAGTATATCTGTCAGAAAGTTGTCTAATTTTTTTTCTTAGCCAACCCAATGCAGAAATCCAGATCGAAGTTTATCTGTCAGAAAGTGGTCTAATTTTTTTCTTAGATGCTTCCAGGGTTGGAGCAGTCACCACCAACCAAGATTTGGTTCCATTGTTGTACTGCTCAAACAGTTAGGACGTTTTTCCTGATATTCAATTGAAATCTGACTTCTTGTAACTTGAGTCCATTATTATGTGTTCTGCACTCAGTGATGATTGAGAAAAAACCCTGCCCCTCCTCTGTGTGACAGCCTTTCAAGTATTTGAAAAGTGCTATCATATCTCCCCTTTTCTCAAGACTAAATATGCCCAATTCTTTCAGTCTTTTCTCATAGATATTAGTTCTAATCCCCTCATCATCCTTCTTGCCATCCTCTGAACCTGTTCCAGTTTGTCAGCATCTTTCTTAAAGTGTGGTGTCCACAATTGGACACAATACTCAAATGAGACCTATCCAGAGCTGAACTGAGGGGAACTAGTACTTCATGGGATTTGGAAACTATAGATAGTTAATTAAGACTGTAATAAATAGTATATTTAAAGTTAATATAGTTAATAAAGCCATTTGCTTTTATTGCAGCCACATAGCATTGTTAGGTCATATTCAGCTTTTGATCTACAACAATTCTAAGATCCTTCACACTCCTATTATCGAGCAAAGTATTCTCCATTTTGCCGCCCCCCCCCAGTGTAGAACTTCACATTTATCCCCGTTAAATTTCGTTTTCTTGTTTTCAGCCCAGTGCTCAAGTTGATCAAGATCTTTTCATTTTGTTGTTTTCAGCCCAGTGCTCAAGTTTATCAAGATCTTTTCGAATTTCCAAAGTATTAGCTATCCCACCCAATTTTATGTCATCACAGATTTGATAAGAATTCCCTGCATTTCCTCATCCAGTTCATTAATAAACACCTTGAAGAGCACCGGATCCAGGACTGAGCCTTGTGGTACCCCACTTGTTACCTCCTCTCAGTTTGAGAAATCACTACTACAGAAATGTCTCTTCCCTCCATAATCCCTGTTACTGTTTTACTTTCTTCTGTTTGTCTATGAGTGCCCTTTGTTTCTGTTCTGTGCCTTGAAGAATGCTGGGAAACATTCACTGATTATATAGATTTCTGCCATTGTCTCTTTGGTCTCATCCCCCTCCCATCTTCTTTCAGTAGACCCTTTCCTTTCTACCTCTCTCTGGTCAAATAAATAATAGACAATGCATTCTGGTTGAGATGTGCTTCTCCCACCAATTTTTTCTTCCTCTAGACCTTCCCTTTATCCCCCTTGAGTATCTCTCTCTCACACATACTTCTGCTTGTCCCAGGAAAGCACTCGATATCCCAGCTGTCTGCTGATTGAGCCTTCCCCTTCTCTCCACCTCCCAGAGACTAGCATATTTATTTATTTATTTATTTATTTTCCATTATGTAAGGGAAGATTATAGGTAAGGGGATTTGGATCAGGGTATTTGGGTAAATAAAAAATAAAGAATGTGATAGAGAACAGTATACTATATATCATTATTACATTCGTCAATGTTTTCTTACTAAGCTTACTTCACACTTATCTTACCATTTTTTCTAAGTCTTTAAAATCTAAATCTTCAATGCCCTAGCTGGGTTAAGGAAACTCTTGGGTGGCTTCCTCAGGCTCTTGATCCACTTGCCGGAAAATCTGATGTGGCCCAGCCTCACTCAGACTCTGCCTCTAGCGGCCCCCAGGTAATTGAATTTGAGACCCCTGCCCTAAATGGTTTAGGACCTCGATACTTAGTGGAACGCCTCCTCCCACCTAGATCTACTCGTATCACTTGTTCTAGTCAGGAGGGGTGACTGAGCAGCCTAACGCCGAGGGAGGTCCGGAAAGAAAGAACGAGACACCGGGCCTTCTCAGCTGTGGCTCCCTGTCTCTGGAACAAACTCCCCTCCGAGATCCATTTGGCTCCCTCACTGGGCATTTTAAAAAACCAACTTAAGACCTGGTTGTTCAGACAGGCCTTCCTTCCGGGCACTATTTAATTTTCTTTTTATTCTCTCCATCTTGAACTATTATCTATGTGCTGTTAACTGCTATTGTATATACCGGCCATCCACCACAGCATTGACAGAAGCACCAATCAAGTCAGCTGGAATCCCCCGCATGGAATCTTGGAATCCGTCAGGATCCAGTAACCTGCAGGGGCGGACCATCTTAATGGGCAAAAGCTCCCCATGGGAGGGAAGTGCCTCTGAGAGGCTGCATTGAATTAGGTGGTGATCCATCCATGAAAAGTCAGCCATCATTGGAGCACACTCTTTCTGCTCGGCAGCAAAGACCAAATCTAGCATATGGCCGCCTACGTGGGTAAAGCCATTGACTCGCTGAGTCAAGTCCAAGGAAGCCATGGTTTCCAGGAACTCATGAGGCTGGGCTGGAAACCTCAGTCTCCGTGTGAATGTTGAAGTCCCCCAGAACCAATAATCTGGGGACCTCAACAGAGCTGTGTAGACAAAACCCGCCAGCTCTGGCACAGACTGCCCTGGATCACAGGGAGCGCGGTATACCAGCACAATCCCAAATCCACCCCTGGCCCCAAATGACACATGAACGGCCTCTAAACCCAGGCTTACCACCACAGAGAGCCTAGCAGCCTCAAAGATGTCCTTATAAACAATGGTGACCCCCCCGCCTGGTCTGCCCTGGTGTTGGATGGCATACCACCCTCAGCACCCACCCATGTCTCAGTTATACAGGCCAGGTCTGCCCGTTCCGCCAGGATGAGTTGGGTTTTATTGTGGGCAGATCTGGCATTTATCAACACCAGGGACAGAGAGGGGGTCCAGCTGGTTACCTAGGTTTGAACAGGTGG